GTTTTTTTTTTTTTTTTTTTTTCCCATTAAAGCATGCTGATACTGATGTCTTTACACTTGGAACTAAATCACTAATCTGAAAAGGTTAATTTTTCCCAATTTCTCCAACAATGGAAAAAACTCCAACTTTCCTCCTCTGTTTGTCGCAATTATTTTCTTTCTATGTGACTTTCAGAAAACAAACATTTTCTGACCAAACCTACACTACTGTACGTTCAGAACACATTTTTTTTCAATATATTTATGTATCTATATTTCTGTAAAGGATTTCCTGACTACATCTGACAACAAGTTCAAAGGAAAAGATACTGAAAGCAATAAAGACCAGTGTGTGTGTGTGTGGAACATACTTACAGATCACAAGGAAATGAAACATTGTTTTATTCTTAAAGTAGCAGCAAAATCCTGAGATTCCAAGTAAATGATCTGTCACACTGAGAGCTTGATAGCCTTGTGCAAGAGTGAGCCAACACTCCTGTGCTGGGAAATTATATTGTTGTACAAACCAAAGATAAGTAGGAATGGTATCTCTTGCTTTATAAGAATATCGAGGCAACTGCCTTTCAGAACTCTAAATCAAAATATTTAGAAAAAAAAATTAATTAAAAAATAAAAATAAAAATAAAAAAAGCAGTGGCCTTTGAATTTCACTGCCAAGTAAGTGAGATAAAAAGCTTTATCTGGTCTGCCTTCCAGTGCCACATGTAGAAGGGAGACTGGGTGCCTACAGGAGATGACTGCACAGTGGGCTGGCACATCAGGTGGGCAGTTTGCAGATTTTCTGAATTTGGGTAGTATTTTACAGCTTATGTGACTTTTTTCCCTCAAATGAGCAATAATCTATGAACAACAGATTATGATAACATCCTTGGAGCAGAGAAGGGAAAGAGTGACTTGGTTATGTTCCTTCTGAATGAAAGTCACAAGTGCTTCTAGAGCATTCTATCAAGTACAGAAATAGACTGGGTTTTCAGAAATATCCTAGAGAGGATACAGGGAAAGAACATTCTACCATATCATCATAAAATGAAAATATTCATCTTGTAGGTCCACTTCAGTCAGTGGATTCTCTCTTGTAATAGAAAGAATCTATAACAGAAATGATAGATTTCCATCGTTATAGAAAGAATCTTCTTTAAATCTTAAATCCTGCTATCCCAGCACCATTCACTGGTGACACTGGTTAACCCCACACTGCACAACATGACAAGACATCTTGTGGTGTGCCACTGTACCCCTTTTACCAGAGGCTTCTTGGGAGCATAATTACGTGTGCGTGAAGGACGGAAGGTTAACACTGATTTTCTTGTTCCAGGCACTCCTGGTGCTGAGAAGAGGCACGAATTTGTCCTAACTGTGATATTCATCCCTCTTCAGGTTGTAACAGTTCTCACAACGGGTCAGAGCTCAACAGCAACTAGATAAAAATCACTTTTGTACCAACATAACAACTTTGCAGGCATAAAGGGGCTGTTAATGTTTCAAGCTAACAACGTCATAAGAAATGAAGAGCTGAAACGTGGCACAGGAATATTCTTTTGCTCTTTACCGCAAAATATAGAAAATCACTGAATCCTTTTCAGAAGAGATGGCTCTTTTCTTGTTAGCACCTAAGAAGTGAGGATCAGCATGCTTGCTAGCAACAAGCCTGGCTTTCAGCTGGTTTGATTTTCCTTAGCTCATCATCTCTGAGCTTCAGACTCTCTATTTGCTGACACTTTCCTGCTTCTCAGTTTGCCGTGTTCAGACTGTCCCGTTAGTATTTGCAAAGCAGTCACAAACTGCAGAGCTTTTCAGCTTTGGGGAAGTCCTGTCTATAAGCATTTGCAGGTCTGCTGTACACCTCACATAACTCATCTGGAAGGGTCAACACAAGGCAAGACTCAAATTAATTCCCCATTTTCATCCTGGTTTTGCCACGAGCTGCTGCCCCACGTGTAAGCAACACTCACAGGTGCAAATTTCAGGGCTCAACACAGGAGCCCAGATGTCATGCCCTAAGAAGTCACAGCTGCAAGTGGGCACAGACGACTCGAGTGTTTGAGTCCTGCAGACCTTGGACTTGCACAGCGCCCAGAATTCATCCAGGCACATGTGACAGAGATAAAGGGACACTGGCTCAACACTGGTGCCTAAGTATCCACAGCCGTAGCTAAACCTCAGGGCAACATGATTAATTAAAAAAAAAAAATTTATAAATCTCTCTTCAAAAGATGAATGCTCTAATTATCTCTCATATAGGCAAAAAAAAAGGAGTCCAGTGTCAAAAAAATCCAACTTTTAAGTAAAATACATTGCTTTTACAGAAGAACATGGAGAATCTCCATTTATCTCCTCCATTCATTGCAAGCTTCATTTACTCGCTTGCTTTCAGAAACTTCTGTCTGCTAACTACCTGAAATGTAGTTGCTGAGAAAGAATAGCAAAAGCCTCTCACGTTTTTATTATTTATTTTACAAATACGCTGATGTCAATTCTCTGATAAAAGTCAGGAACTTTTTAATTCTCTTCCCCATTGTACTGCTAACGTGAATATGGAATGTTAAAAAAAAGAGACAAATACTTGTTCAAAAATCAAAGCAGACTCAAACACAACACTTCAGAGACCTTACAAAACAAAATTCGTGCTTTAAGCTCCAGCAGGACAAAATTGTGGGAATAAGTGCAAGTAGAAATAACAGTAAAACCACAGGCCACTCTGAGTCAGAATTCACATGCACAAGTACCTCAAATGCTGGAAGAGGTGAGAAATCTGGAAAGCTCCAAGTTAATGATCTGGAACACTCCAAACTAAGGTGCCACTTCCCAGCACACATCACGAGGATGAAATAGTTTAACATTGCCATCTCCAAGGAAACAGTAATCTTTCATGTCTTAAGTTTGAAGGCTTAGGAATGACAAAGACAAATCTAAACTACAACTGAGCACAAGATCTTCCTTCCTTCCTTCCTTTCTTCTTGTTTTTCAGGTGTTTTGAGTATTTGATTCTTACACAGAACACACAGAAATCCAAACCAGCAGAAGTAAAAACCCACCCCTATACCATATCAACATCCTGACAACTGTACCTTAAAATATGTGCCTTTGGCCTCATTTATTTAAGTCCCAGCTTCACCATGCATTTGAGATCACAGTACAGCCAACTCTGAAATGATCCTACTCAGCAGACTGAACCTTTAGATCAAAGAGGTTAGAGAGGCAGAGAGAGAAATTCTGCAGAAAGCTGTTCTGAGGGGTGAAGGGAAGGTCTTCACAGGGCTGAAAGGAGTCACCTCCTGGCTAATCAATTTGTCAGTCCGGAGCTCCCCCTTGCTCCAGGGCCTCTCTTCTCTGCATTACCTCCCAAGAACTGCACTCCATCGAGCACATTTATAATTTCATAAAAGGCAGAAAGCAACACTCATCTGTCCCGTGGTCTCAGGCAGCCAAAGCAGCTGTGTTTGTTCTTCTGCCTCACGTTTCATCCACACGCACAGAAGTCAGGGATTTGATTTGCCCTTCCAGGTACACTGTAATTCCTACTAATTTCTTTAAAAAGTTCCTTCTTTCACCATCACTACCGATCCTGTACTGCCAATATCTCTGAAATTGTTTAGGTCAAGATGTTTTTTTTTTTTTTTTTTCCCACAGAATTAAAAAAGGGACTGTCTGCTACGAAGTAAATAAAAGTACTAAGCACTGATGTTATTTAAAACAGGAAAAAAAAAAAAAGGGCTAATACTGTGTTATGTATCATAGCTGATAAACAGCCTTCTGATCTCTGAGAAGTCCTTGTAGTACACATAAAGCAGATGTTCCCACATTTTTTTGTACAAAAAAACAATATACACAATATATCTGCTGCCTACCTTTAAAAACACACGTGGGAACTGTTTTCCCAGTCACTGGAAGTGCATATATAGGACCATTCAAAGTTTTGTTCATAGAGAACTGACTAAAAACCATAAGATTTACAGCTGCAGTTTACCGAACACATTCATAAATTGCTATATAAAGCCATCCTGTTCACTTGTATACCCTAAAAAGTCTTTTTACGAATGCAGGATCATTTCAGCACAGTCCACGCATGTCTTTTTTTATTCTTCCATCCTGACTTCCAATTCTTAGGGTGTTTTAACAGCTTGTCAAAAATGTCATTTCCCTTCCATCACCAGTACTATTGGAAAAACGATGTAGGGAAATATTTTTCACAAAGCAGTTTGGAAACTTCCTATGATGGCCAAAAGATTAAATAATGCAGCCTGACATACAAGGGTATTAAAATATTAAAACAAACAAACAAACAATCCACAATGCAAAGGCAGGAAGGAACATTGCAAATACTGAATCATCAACTTATTTTTTAATAAGTGCATCACAGCTGTGAATAATAAGCTCTAGAAAACACTAAGAAACCAAAAGGAGAATAATACCCCATTGCATTCATTCCTGTGATGGAACAACACATGAACAGAGCTACCTCAGCTACACTTTTCTTAGAAATAGGTCTCTTATGTATCATAGGAAAACCATTTCAGTTAAGTACCTGTCCCGCAGAAGTACTTCAGGAAGGACTGCAGGTCATCATTTTTATATTCCAGCCTCAGTACTCCTTCACACTTACCTTCCCCACAAATGCCTGAAGAACTCCCACTTCCTAAATTAATGTATTTTATAAAGACTTTGTTCTCTCAAAAAAAAAAAAAAAAAAAAAAAAAAAAAGGATTTTAGAAGGTAGGTGCTATTCTCTGAAAAACAGCACTTTTAAAACTTGTCATGACAGCACGACCAGGGTGTGCCAAGGCACAACTGCAACCGTGAATTATGCCCATAGACTGATAATCCAGATGGTCCAGCACCACTTGTAATCTTCAATCTCTATTTATGAGCACAGAAATGGTCCTGGTGATATTCACCATCACGAAACTGAACTTTGAAATGAAATTCATTCATCTGCAATTTATTTCAAATGATGTTTCTGAACAGGCTGTTCAGGGGGCAGGTCTGAATATTTTGTTTACCTTCACAATACGCGGAGTCTCCTTGGACAGAGAGATAACCATTCTTGCATTCACAAGTAGCTTTTGTGTTCCAGTTTTTGCACTCTGAGTTTTCACCACATCTGTGCCCCTCTGCACAGAAGTTATGGCCTGAAATACAAGGAACATGCAATATGGTATTAAAATGTGTTTATTTCAGATATTCGGATATTTGCGTTGACTGTATCGCTCAAAAACTTCATCATCCTACATTCCAGAAATTCTCTACAATCCTAGGCTTTTTGAGCTTCTCCATCCATTCATCCTCAGTAAAACCATTCGTTCAAAAAGGTAGTTGTATGACTACCTTAAGTCAGGAGAAAAGACAACCCCAAAGCAGGAAACAACAACAACTCATTACTGTTCTACTGAACCCATGTAGCATAAGCCCCTGATTGTCAAAAAGTGCAATACTAACGTACACCAAAAAGACAATAAAGTGAAATATTAAAGGAAAAAAAAAATCCTTCGAAATTCTCTTATTATGCATAACCACACATAGACCCAAATGAGGCACTGCACAAAACTGCACCGGTAGTCAAAGCAACCCCAGAGACTGCCTTGTAATTCTGTCATCAAAACCCAGCTGAGTTGTTTTTACAGTTTATAATTATTCCATGCATCATGTTTTATAGAGGAGATTTTTTTTATTAATCTCTCCTTTTTTCCTCCACAAAAAATTCTCGGTAGTTTCTCTGTGAACGGTTTCTTTTATTCCACACAAAGTCGTTTCTAAAAATAGGATGAACTTTGCCACTTCCTTCTCTAAAGGCACAACTGGATGAAGTTCTTTCTTTCTGATTTTCAATATTTCTCAAAGACGTGTCAACATCTTTCTCAGCTGAAGTCTAAAGTGAAAGTAATTGCAACTTTATCTCTTTAAAGGTACTCCACTGGAAGTACTTTAAGAGATAACTTACAGAATTTGACAACAGAATTTTTTTTTCCTCAGTTGGTGTATGTTTTATGGGCTTTCTCTATTAATATCCAAGAGCCCATTTCTATTTGACTGAGATATATAAGCAGTCATTTTGGCAATTTCTATTTTGTCTGGATTTTCTCTCCTGGAAGGAGGGAAAGAAGAAACCCGGACATACCATCACCTACTTGTATTCCAGCTTGTGCTTATATGAATACAAAAACAGCCTCTGCCAGTTCTGCCTGGTCATAAAGGAGCAAACTTAGAGTTCTAGTTTACTGATTGTAAACTTTCCTAACAGCCCCTAAAGACAGCTAAGAAAAACATGACCTAGACTTCTAAGATCTAAATCTTAAAGGTCTTTGTTCACCTCCCTTGCTTTGACATTCTATTTTTGTTTGTTTTTAAACACGGACTTTAATCATCTGCTGATTTAACATGCAGGTTGTGTCACTTCAGTGCACTCCAGGTTTGTGAGTCTGATCATCTAATGCTGAGTTTTGAGGTAATTTCCAATAAAATGTCAATGCTTGTTAGCAAGGGGGACACTTTCTCAGTGTCAACATCTAACTCTACACTTGAACTTCAAATTAATTTTATTAACAACCAAGGAATCTTCCCTGTGCTCAGTTAAGCTTGTTCTTTCATTGTAATCCAACTTGTGAAAAAGAACCAATTCCCTTAATGAAAACTTCAGATTTCCCTTCTAGTCTTCACTCATTTCACAGTCTGGTAAAAACCACTCAAGTATTCCAGATACAGCCTTGTCAAGCCTGGGTACTTTTTATTCTGGTAAAATAGGTTGCCAATACACTGCCTTTAGCCATTTATGCAATCACAGGATTTGACTTCTCATTTTTGCCTTTATAACTATAATTGAAACTGAACACTGGAACCCATCTCCTCAAACTTATCCTTTCAGCATCTAATTTATGCTCCCCAAGCAGGATTATTATTCTGTTGGCATTCTAGATAACATCCAAGAGACAACAAGTTTTATAACGTTTTCTTTGTCACTGTTTCCCCTAAGACTATGACATCCTAGTCTGTTCCTGGCTTCTTTAGCATAATAATTCTCCTTTGAACTCACACACAGTATTAGTTTTATATTTTATTATCATTGGGTCAGAACCTCTGTAACCTATCAGTGTGCTAAGCTAGGGACTAAAAAATATCACATTTTAATTCAGTGTGGATTGTTACTCTCAGGATATTTTTTTTTTATATTTATTTCTATTTCCCTCTCATCCAGACCTCTAAAAAAATATTTCACCTTTCTCAGCATGTTTTAGTTACAAGAGCGCTAATTACAACTTTGTGCACCAAAAACAATCTTTGTTTCTAGGCTCTTTTTATCCCAAAGAGTCAACACTTCTACCTTATGATCAGTTCATGGCAAATTTGAGACTTAGAATCAGACAAAGCAATGGTTTCTCAGAGTTAACTTCCATCCCAAGCACAAGCCAGTGATTAGTTTTCAATATCACATGCCCTGTGAATTCTTCAGTGTTTACTGGCCACCTCTGAAATGTCTCAGTAGATGAACTACCCCAGCCAACCATTTTGTATCACTAGAGCTGTCCCCATATTTTTCAAAAATTCTCTGTAAAAACCTGCTTTGCTTTTGCTCCCTTGTTATCACCTCAAAGATGAACTGTCTCCATTCAGAACTAAACTCAGGTTTTCAAGCTTGGAGGCTGCTGAAAGAGGACAGAAGGAAAAAAAAAAAAATAACACTCCAGTGCTGTAACTGGAGTAATTAAAGGCTCTAAAGGGCATTTGATTTTTCTCCTGTCATTAGGAAATGCACAAGGATAGAACATCTACTAAACCTCTAGACTGCCTCGGCATTTATTATTATAAAAGACATGTGAAAAACTGTTTCCTGGCTTTCAAATAAGCTTTCTAGAATGTCTCCACTTGAATTTTCCATAGCATCTCAGAAAGCTTGTTCAATACCTGTGAAAGTGGATAGTGGAAGTCATTCCAGTTAAAAGCATGCAGGGTGCTATAACGCTGCATGTTGCCAAGCTTTTATAAAACAACTGTATTTTAAGGGTAAACAGGAGGAAAAATAATAAAAAAAATGTACTTAACAGTACAGAAGAGTACGCAAAGTAAAGCATAACATTGCTTGGATCAGAGGTTTTTCCAAGCACTTCTTTTTGCAGTGAAAATGCACATTTATAAAAGCCAGGAGGAGCATACCAAGGAAAGTGTGGTTCTTGGATTTCTTAGACATGGGTCTCTATTCTCCCCAGCCAGGAGTTTTGGGAGGCAAATAACTGATTTTTATTAGTTCTTTGGTGTGAAATGGATTTATAGGATTCCTTAAAGATACCTGCACCGATGCCAAACCCAGCTGTTGATACTGCAGTGGGATCTCTAAATTTCAGCCAGCCCTGGTGGCAGCTAGCAGAGGGCATGCATTGCAATCACAATTAATTCAGAATATTCAGCAAAGTCTTATCTGAGACATTCAGCTCCTCTCTAAATAAAAGAAATGGCTTAAAATGGAATCATCACATCATCTGAGCAAAGCAGGCAACTGGAGAGGATTTGACCGAACCACAGAAAATCTTAAATAGTTCAGATATTCTTAACTAATTTCAGGCCAACACAGATGACAAGGCAAGTATGAATTAAAAGGAAAAGACCCAGATACACACTAGCAGACATAACACAATCACTTCTGCAGCATCAGGGACTGCACAACTGGCTAGGGCTCAGTGGTCCCAAGTCAGATTATCTGAAATTAAACGTTTATTCCATTTTGGGACATGCCTGTTTTGCCAAGCAGCATCTTCAAGTTGCAGCTCCCAGAAGGTGCCTTAGCACAGCAGCATGCTAAGCTGTTTCATGCTGTCACCCAGGTCGTTTACAAACCCAACATGCTTGCTAATTTAGCTGAGCTACTGATCGTAGAACGCAAGAATTCCTTCAAGACTATGGCTGGAATCAATGCATCTGAGATCCAAAGCTCTTCCTGCTTTTTCTGTGGGCAACACTCACGTGCCTCTCATTACATCGGAGGGTTTCCTTATAACACCTGTAATGTTTCCTGTACTTCTTGCAACATCCTTTGCTGTTCACATCAACAGCTGTAAAACCCCTGTTCTCTTGCTGTTCAAGAAGCCACCATTCACATTTCACTGTTTCACACGGAGAGGCTTCTTAAAAAAAAACATGGATAATGCTTCTGTTAAAGAGCAGTAGCAATGCTCAGCAAGTCCAAGGTAATTTCGACCTCAAAATCCTTACTACTCCTATGATTTAACCCTCCAGTTAGGACATAAATACATAAGGTAAATCCGGGGGAGAAGTCATGGGAAGAGTCATAAAATTTGCATTACCAATTATGCCTTTCCATGATCTGAATCTGTTTTTAATGAGTCACGAGCAATGGAGCACTTTGAACGAGAGCTTTTACACCCTCAGAGATTGTGGTCCCAGAACTCAGTGGTCTGACATAAAACAGTAACTTCATAAATCCTTTCAAGCTGCTGTATGAATGCAGAACTTACTACACTGTGCTTATTTGTGTGCAAGAGAATAATGGTAGCTACACAGCCTAACAAGCTTATAAAGATATCTTTCTCTTTTTTTTTTTTTTTTTTCAGATATAAAGCTCTTCTAAATCCTCAGTAATGCTACAACTATGTTTAGAAATAAACTAATTCATATTTATCAACCTCCATTAAATCTTAATAAATCTAAAGCCTTGAAATAACTCCTACCTCCCAGCAGTAAATGGGAAAAATTCAATTTCTGAAGAATCAAAACTTGGTTTCACAGCTAGACAGGGAGAGATGAGAAACATGCTAACAGAAGAGCCTTCTCACCCTCTAACTGAAAGAACAAAAACCTCCTCAAAACTAAACAAAGAACTACAAATAAGGATGGTTGACGCCCCATTTTTAGATTTAAATGCTGTTTCCTGACATAAAATCAGTAAGATTCTCCATTTCCTTCTAACCAGCATCAGCATCTAAATCCATCAGCCCAATCATACTGCAGGACAGCGAATAAAAATTATTTTCACTAGAAACAAAACCACTCTCACTACTTCATTATATCATCACAATCTTTCTTTTAAGAAGAGCTCGTCTGTAGCTGCAAGGGCTGTTAAGGCTATTCTTGTGTATTTAAAATTGTGAGCATAACAACATAAAAGTTCTCTCATGAAATTTTATTTGAATCACTCATTCAAAAGAGAAAAACAAAAATCCACTCTTTCAAAATTATACACTGTCTTTGGCAAGGAGAAAAACAGCTACAGGGAACAATAAAACACTTTTACTACACTATTTTTTGTATTAGATTTGTCCCTGGGCTATAAAAAATGGAGCAGGCATGCTGTAAGAAAAATGAGTGATTCTCCAAAAAGTAGTAAAAAATGCATTTTATGACACCATGATTCTTTGTAAAACTTGAAAATTAACTAAAATTTCTCTAAGCCTAAAAGACAGGTTAATAACACCACATGGTCCTGCCGAAATGTATCAAGCAGCCCACATAGTTTAAGCAGACATTTACATTAAAGCACACAGGTAAAGGGGGAAACTAGGTATACTCTACATAATATGATCTAGTGAGGCCCATTTTTGCATTCAGGTACAATCAAATCACAAAAATGAACTGTCACTGTGACGCGGAGTTGAGTTCTTCCGTCCTACGCTCACCTCGCTGTACGCCTCACACAATCACCTTACTGAAAGCTGGAGATTGGTTTTTAGCAACACATTATTAGCTTTTGCTATCCCATAAACTCCTGTGGCAAAGCTGTGAGAATAGGCATTATTTGCTGTCTGCTTCTCTTACCATTTACAAACAATGACAACTAGCTCACCAGCTACCTGTATTACAGGATTCAACTCTGCTCACTGACAATTCCCATCTCCATAAACACCACAGATTTCGTTTTTACCTTCCACACCCTATTTTATTTTAGGCACTTAGCTGTTTTTGTGGTAGATACTACAGAGATCCCTGGAGAAGGTACAGTCTCACACCACAGCACCACGGATTTTTTGTGTTTCTCTGTGTTTTTTTCTTTCTGTTAACTAAATGGAAATTCCTTTGCTGCAGCTAGAAAGGCAAAAGCTGCAGACCAATTCAGGAAATGTATTCTATAATTCAGGAACTGTATTCTATAATTCCAAAGAATATGAAATTGAGTAGAGGACATGATTTTCCACAACCACATATACTGAAGACAGCACAACCTGACACAAGGCCCAGAACCCACCAGTCACTGACATGCACAGAAATACTGTTCTCATTCAACATTGGCAGTAAATGCTTACTAAATATTCTGTTGACTAAATTAAGGCTTAGCTAAGGGCTAATGCAACAAATTCTCTGCCACCACAAAATTTATATTTCGCTCTAAAACGTGAAATTTGCACGTGATGTGCAGATGATCCACGTGGCCTTCCAACAAACATTCTGATTATTCAGGACTACAATTATTACAATACCTCTTCCTAATTATTTTGGCTTAGACAATAAAAGCTAAAGACAGGCTCTGAAAGATGTCACTTCTGCAAACAAGAGAAGCACTCTATCCTTTCCCACTAAAGCACATGTTGGCACAGGCGAGGACCAGAAACTATGTCCTGCTTGCCACATCAGAGGGTACCTGTTTGCTTGATAAAACTCATACCAAATATGGAATTCTTCATAAATATCCATTTTTAACAACAGCAATCCACATATGATAAAATTATATGTCACTACTTTAGTTTGCATGCAACTGAAGCAAAGGTGTCAAGCAGCATATATTCTGCTGCAAGATATAAAAAGCAACTTAGGAGTGCTAAATTCAATTTATGCCTTTGTAAAGTTGACAAAACTAATCATATCTTTAGGCATCGTTTTCAAAAGAATTTTAAAGAGCAAAGATGAAACACAAAAGGAGGTGGTACTGTTTCAGCAGTCAGCTAAAGCAGAAGTGAAGTGGAAGTTTAATGTATCAAACTGAAAGCACCATGTGCCAGAATTCACAGGAAGGGAAAGTACAATTCCTCCCTTTGCTTCTAGAGATGATCACATCCATATATATATATATTCATGCTATATTTTAAATAATGAGGCCAGTTTGGGGATGAATTTCTAAAAAGAGTACCTATCAGTAACAATATTACGGAACTGAATAATTACAGAACTTATCTTTCATCAACTTTGAAGCTCTCAGATTTGTAATGCTTTAAAGTAATGAATACAATTTTTTCAGTACTGCACTACATCAAACTGGGCCATCTGTTAAGAAGTATCATTAAGACATCAAGCCCTCTGAGGGACAGAGAAGCAACATTTACTGCTTGCTTAAATAGTTACAGATGTTTCTAGAAACTGCTTTAAAAAATTAATGTGTATATTAGACCATAACCCAGTGTCAGACATGCTGGTCCCTGAAACCACATGCATGTGTTTCTCTAAGTTCAAGGTCTCAGTAAATATTTAACTATGCACACTGATTAATCAATATTTACTGCCAAAAGGAGAGATTCAGAGCCCCTTCACCAGCATCTGGTGAATGGCACTGGAGGAATTTATAGGCAGGCAAGACAAGTATTCCAGGGATCCTCAATAGCCAGCTAAGCCTGGAAGTGTCTAATGCTGATCTGGGAGAGATGAGGAGCAGAGGTACAGTACAGACACACACAGGGAATGATTAATCAACCCCACAAATCACTGATTAGAACACCTTTTAAGAAAGAAAGCTTGTCCAGCTTTCCCTAGCCTTGTGATACCTGCATTTTCCTCATTTAAGGGGATTTCCTCAACTAAGGTTTTAGCTGTGGCTTGTTCAGTCTGGTCCAGCAAACAATCAGGACTCACAGGGCTGAAAGGGAACCAGCAAGAGGAACAGCATCCCCATTGGAAGGAGGAAAAACGGGGTTCTGAGCAATAAGTTAAAGTTTTTAATTTTGATTTTGTATTTGCATTATTTTATTGTCCAGCCCAACTCATAAGTTAGTCCTGAGAGTGCTCAGATCAACCTCCTGATATCCACCAAACTGGAATCCTAACCCTTTTTTTGTGATTTTAAAATAAAGAGCTTAAAAAAAACCACATTTCCAAACTTATGTACATTTACTGCAGTTGCAAGTTTAACCAACAACACATATTTCTTTTTCAAACATAGCATCCCTGAAATGGGAATTCTTGAGAGATACCATGCCCTTTCTCCCCCAACTCTTCCTTCTCTCCTTCCTCCCTCTCTAACTCAGAGCAATTGCAGCTTTGTATCTGCTAAGTCTTCTAACCAAAGGAATATCATAGACTGGTTTTAGACTCAGGCTTACATCTCATATCACTTAATATCTCATTAAAAAGGAATTATTCCCCCTGTTGAATCAGCAGCTTAAATTCCTTCCAAGCATGCCCAGACTCTGGCTTACCTCTACAAACACTGCAACACTGGTTCTCTGGAAGAACGTGATCATCTTCTGAGCAGTTCAAAGGTGGACAAGTCTCTGTCACTTTTACCAAAACTCCATTCTGAAAATAAACAACATTTAAAAAAAAAAATTACACGTGGAAAGCATGTGCAATGGCAAGGATTACGCAGTTTTCCATCTTTAACACTGGCAATCTCTAGTAACAACCATCTCCAGTAAACTAGCAGGAAGGAAGTTAAACTAATTTGTTCCACCATAACATCAAATCTAAGGTAATCCACTTGTGCATTTCTCTGCCCAGTGTTGAAAGAAGAGGCAAGAAAAAGGCACTTCAGCTCAAAATTCTATTCTAAGTTTACCAGAGATGTAGTCTCAAAGTACAGTTGTCTTCTTTACAACCCTTCGAAGGAATTCCAGAATTTCACTCTAGGATTTTGTCAGTCTTCCCTCTTTATGCAAGTCTGAGTTTTCCTCCCCTTATTTCGCAATCTACTTCACTGATAAATTATTCAGCTCAAACACACACAGCAAGAGCAGTGTTTTCAAGTGTCATGTGTTCTTCTCCCCTGTCCAATTACAACGGTTTGTTTTTACATTTACCAATCATCCAATTTACAAAATTAGGCCCTCCACAGAAGAAAGCCCATCTTGTGAGGCAGCCCCATAGAAAATGCTGTAAAAAAGAAAATCAAGCTCCAGAAGTTTCTACGATTTTGATTTCTGCCAGATTTAGAGTAAGACTGTGACAGGAAGTCTAGTTGTTGGTAGAAATGTTCTAAAATCATAGACATTAAGCCTTTCTGCAGAGATTTTACACCAAATTTCACTCCATTTCCTTCCCATCCAGCAAATTGGCTTCACTGTATCTGCAGACCGAACGGCTCTCTGGCTCTTTAGTTGGTTGTTTCTTAAAATCTTGTCCCCAAATAGCCTCCTCTTTTACCTTATCCCCCCCCTCCAGCCTTTCTCATGCCCTAATTTATTTCTTCAGCATCCCTTCTGCAGCTGTGCCATCACTGAGAACTGGCAAGTGGAGCAGAGATTAACAACTAGAATTTTTGCTCAGTAGGAACTGCAGTAACTACCCCACAGGACTGTCCACACCTGAGTAATCCCATTTTCCAAGCTGCGAAACTCCAACTAAGAAAGCAGGCAGGCTGCTATGCTGCCAATACACCTTTTTAACATTAATCTAGTCCCCACTCCTCCCAAAATACTCCTCATGACGTCTCAGAGGGTGGAATGAAAACGTGGAATAAGAATTTCTGCTTTTTTTCAAGCAAAGAAATTACATTTTCCAGCTACCACGATTGCAGTGATAAGTTTAAAAATATGATACAAAAAAACATCTAGGGTTAAGAGAGCAGAGGAAAACCAATATCAAAAAAAAAAAAAAAAAAAAAAAAAAAAAAAAAAAAAAAAAAAAAAAAAAAAAAAAAAAAAAAAAAAAAAAAAAAAAAAAAAAAAAAAAAAAAAAAAAAAAAAAAAAGGCAAAATTTTATTAAGGCCACTATTCTCATGATCTGAGGATTTTGAAGAGAGAATACTGAAAATACCTATGAGCATACCCACTTTGAAGGAACATCCTTATGCAGGAGTTTGCTTTCATATCCACAAGACACTGTTGCACACTGATGCCAAAAGGCTGGCTTCAGGTGCCAGAACCAGTGCAGGGTGAAACCTTTGCTGCTAATCAGCCTCCCCAGCCACACCACTCTGGTTCAGCTACGTCCCTTCAGGCTCCAGAGGCAGCTCTCACAGCCTCAAGCTGCCCTACACGGCTGGGAAATGCCTGCTGAGTTCACAGGGCACAAATGATGCCCAGGGCACCCAGCAGACAGCAGGAGTTAGAGCTGAGAGGTGCAGCAGACCCAGGGAATGCAAAACCGCCCGTTCTGCAGTCGCTGCCCTCAAGGTTACAATCTTAGGGCTGAGCAGGGCCAGGTCGTTTCTCTGGCTTTCCAGTTGACTTTATGGCAAGCTGCATCCCTTGCTGCCATGAAAAATAATGCTTAAAAAAAAAACAAAAAAACAAAAAAAAAAAAAAAAAAAAAATCCCTGCAGTCCCACATCCAGCAAACGCATCACTGAAGCATGTGCCCACACAAGAGCAGTGAAGTTTATGGAGGCACAAGGTCTCCTTCTGATCCCACTTCCATGAGTGAAAGGGAGGAAGCCCCCCATGGCTGCCTGGGCAACTGCAGCAGCAAAGATGATAAAAGAAGCAGACACGCTGAGCCATCATTTACTATCATGTTATCAAGCTACCAGCTAGAAAAGCCCTGGCTTTATATATATATATATATATATATATATATAACTCATTGCCTGTTTAAGCTCAGACAGGACAACTACAGCAGGAGGAGCACAGGATGTCAACATACGGACAAAGAGCGCTGACTGACAATAAATCTGGTCAAAAATACGGCAAGAAATGGCATGAGAGTGAAATGAGCAATCAGGATGAGTCAAAAAGCTACAGATAAATTTAATCCAAGCTCACAGCTCCTCCAGTTACTCATAAGGAGATAGAAGAACACAAATTGTGAATTCCATTATTTAATGACATGAAGATTTTATTTCCTTAATGTTCCTATTTTCTGCAGAATTTGCATCTTGGGAAAACAAATCAACCTTATTTATAATTAATTTTTAAAACAATTAAAATATATCCACGTTGAGTGTTCTTTGGTTTAAAATCAATTTGTTATATGCTAGTACAGATTCAATTATAAGAATTATCATCATTAGATTTCAGACTTCATTCACTGAGATAAGTAAGAACAGTTCACACTTCAGAATTATTGCTTCAGGCAGCCTTAGAAAAATTACTCCTTTTTATACTCAATTCACACATGTAGCCATAGAATCTGGACAGAAATAGATGTTAAAAGGACATTTTTTTCCTGGAATAAATACATCAAACTTCAAGTGTAACATACAACCCACACAGAATGAGATCTGGAGTCAAACGTTTACAATAAGATAATTAAATTTCTTGTAATTACATGGGCAAGTACATAAAATAAGGATTGGCTGCAAGCCTAATCAGTGACATGCAGTGAAAATCTGAACCACAAACAGCTTATCTGGGATGATAGACTTTGAGAAGTAACAGCAAGATTCAGATAAGGCTATTTTTGGGGGGAGAGGGGTTTCCCTGTCTTGATTTAGCTGTATCATTGTTCTAGCCAGAACAGGGTTAATTTTTGCAGTAGCCAGGAGGAAGGCATGGCTGGGACCCCTCTCTGAGCCTCCTCCTCTCCAGGCTAAACAGTCCCAGCTCTCTCAGCCTTTGCTCAGGTTAAGAGATGCTCCAGTGCCTTATTTATCCTCATGGCCCATGTCTGATCTCTCTCCAGCTGTTCCATCCCGCTCTTGTGGTGGGGAGGCCAGAAAATACAAGTGTGTATGTGCTTTAGAAAAATGGCACCTCTCTGCATTTGGGTTGGCTCATCTATTTATTTCTTTATTTTGGCGTTGGTGGGGTTCACCAGTACGGTGATGGGGTTTATTTAAAGGCATCAGAAAGATTCCTATGACTTCTGTTGGACTGGGAATTTCCAGCTGATCAGCTGCCTAGGAATGACACGGTGCCTGTTTGTAACCAGATTTGTGTCTGACAGCAAAGGGTACAAAACCAAACTCCTCTCCGCTAATGTTAGGAGCATTAAATATTAACATACAAATATTGTGCCATACAAATGCTAGAGAGATGGACAGGGGTCCACTGACCTCCAGGAAGCTTGACTAAAAAGTTTTTTGTAAAGATAAAGCACAGTGTTATTCTTGGAGTGACAACTAAGGTTGCTACTTGGAACTTTCTCCCGAAAGACAGATCAGTAACAGCTTGTCGTGGTTTAGGAAGGGTATTCTCCAATTTAGTGCTCCCACTGAAATCATCTTCCACTTGCTCACTTCCTCCTCCCCCTCTCCCTCCCCCACAGAGGAGAATTGGAGGCACCAAAAAAAAAAAAAAAAAAAAAAAAAAATTAGGATCATGTGTTGAGATAACAACAATTTACTGGAAAGAGCAGCAATAAATTATCGCAGCAATAAATTGGCAATCACAGCTGCACATAAATACCCACAGCGAAGGTGCCAGGCCCTTTTCAGCGGTGCCCAGTGGCAAGACCAGAGGCCACGGGCACAAACTGAAACACAGGAGGGTCCATCTGAACATCAGGCAACACTTTCTCAGTGTGAGGGTGACCAGTCACCAGCACAGGCAGCCCAGGGAAGCTGCGGAGTCTCCATCCTTGGAGATACTCAAAAGCCATCTGGACACGGCCCGGGGGACCTGGCTCTGTGCAGCCCTGCCCATGCAGAGGAGTTGGACAAGATGACCTCCAGAGGTCATCTTCCAACCTGAACCATTCTGTGATTCTTAGAAATACCTGTGCACCCATTTTGTTATTGCAGATTCATCTGGAGAGTGTTTGCGGGCAGGATTCCAGCTGGGAATGGCTGTTCAACAGTAACATCTGTGCTTACGGTTAAGAGGATGTGCATCATAAATATTTTTAGCCTGGATTAGTTTTCAGAAATTAAAAGACCATCTCACAGCCTGATAAAGAAAATCTTTGATCTAGGTGGATCCATCAGCAGTATTAATATTTTTGTACGATGGAAAAAAATACAAAAGTTTAAAAGCCTCTTAAGCTTGGATCAGTACCCATGCAAAGAATAAAATACCTATCTTCAAATAAAAATTCAAATGTGAAATTTCAACTTAATCTTTTCGACATTACCCCACCTACAAATATATATCCTCCTTTAGGATTTTCAAGTCACCTTTATCAACACTATTAAATTCACAGTTGATGTGTACCCTCCACTGTGTTCCTTCATGGATCATCAGCTTTTGAAACCTGATGTCTGTTTTTCAAGTCTGGAAAATTAAACCGTGTTAAATTTGTTGTAGTCCTCCCCTACCACAAAGCCCTTCCTTTATTCACACAACACCTTGCCCACACAGGGACAGAAAACAATGACACAGCCACAGTTTGACTCGTCACCATTCAGCCTTCATCTAGTGAGCATTCCTCATCGAGGCAGAAAATAAGGAGGTGTTTTGCTTACAGATTTAGGAGGTCAAAATGCTGAAGACATGTTGAATGAACCTCCTGTAGGGACACAGCACCCCACAAAAGCACCCACTTAAAAGCTCTCCCCAGACTAGTTAGGAGTAACATCTACTTGAGGCACAGCTACAGAAATACTTGCTGTTTGTTGGGTGGTTTTTTTGAAGGCAAGGATCCAATGGGTTTTTTTTTTATAGCATGGCATTCACAGATGTCATTTCGAATACTTATCAATACTCTCCATTAAGATGTAAATACCAACTGCAGTGTTGCTGTAATTAGCATTGCCATATCATTTTCCTCTAACAATAAGCAAAATTCAAAAGCTCTTTTCATTATTTTACTCCTGTCTAATGATAGATATTTGATGGTCAGCATTTGCTTTTACTCTTCATGAACGTATTATCATACTCATAATGACGAATACAACACTCTAATTTATAGCACAGAGAAGTTCTACAGACCTAATTCAGATCACTCTCTGCTTTCTCTTCAATGTGAAAATCCCCCTGTTCCCATTTTCCCCTCTCAAAGCAGCATTCTATGTCATATTATAAATAACAGGCATCTCAGTCTGCCTTCCAAGGCAATGACCTTGCCCACGTTATTTGTATGTGCAGTGCTGAGCACCCCTCTACAGATGAACAGGAACAACAGCAAAGTAATTCTGCGTAACAAGCTGTTTCCACAACATCTGCAACCAGTTATTGTCCATTTCCATTAGTGTACATAAAATTGCCACTCTCTACACTCAGCTACAAGCACAACAATAACCAGATCACTGCAATCTTTTCCAATACTCTCACCAACACCCCCCGGATGGTTCTAACACAGCCTGTTTACCAGGGCTCTTAAATACTGACTGTAGTTGCATAAGTGTTAGGAATTTGCCAAGGAAGACCCCAGCCCAGCCCAACAATAATTTACCTTGACAATTAGGAGAGCTACATGGAGTTTAAATAATACCAGGGGAAGCAGAGACTAACTCCAACGATATAAACCAAGTTGCTTGAACTGCTTTCAGCAGTTTGGCTGAAATTAGTCATTGGTTTAAGATGCTGCTACTTCTTTTTCTAGAGCTCATAAAAGCCGAGAGAAAAGAGAAAACATCCTTCCAAGCCATTCTGCCCCTGTTTTTCTTATCCTGCAAAGGGGAATATTCCTGCCTTGTTTTCGTATTTTTGGCTTTTCGCTGACTTCAAGGTCACCTTTTCAAGACAACAGATGTCACATTTGCATGAAGGGAGCCTAAAGAAATGCACTAAACTTTTCACTGTCACTTCTGAACACCACAGATACATTTAAAATCAGGAAAAGTTCGTACAACTGAAACTTACTCGGCATTCCCTGCAGCTCTTGGTTAATACCCGTTGACCTTCTGCTAGCACTTTGCCTCCATAGATACACTTGGCTGTAAATGGAGAGAGGAAGGAGGCAGGTTAACATTAAATTAAAACAGTATTTAAGCAGTAAACAAATGCAAGGCATAGCGCAAAAGTAAAACCAGAATTTATTGAGGAAAAAAAAAATGAATACGTTAAAAAACATGATGCATTTTGCTTTCATCAGAAGTCAGGATTATATATAATTACAAGCAAAGCCGCAAACAATTCATTAGTTTTTTTTAAAAAGCAGCATTTTTACCCAAACTAAACAGAGGGAATAAGAGCATAAACAACATGTCCTGGACTAAACTCCTTATCATTCAGCGGCAAATATTTTCACTACTGACGTTCTGTAGAGTAGTAGTTGTGTTACCAGAGGTCTTTGTGAGTCACTTTAAGAACTGGAGACATTTATTAGTGTACAGTTCATCGAGAGAATAATATAAGCACAGATTTCAAATTCAGCCTTCATATTTATTTTTTTTTTGTGGGCACAAAGGTGAACTCTTCAACTTGCTGGAGCACTGCAAAAATGGATTAGATGCAGTGAATGACTGTACTGAATCAACAAACTACGAAAATCTATTTCAGCAAAATATTCCTCCAGCGCACATGAAATAAGCAGATTTCCCAGGAAACTGAAAGCTCCTACTCAAAAATTCTTGTCTGAAGTTTTGATCCTTCTGCCAGAGATAATCAGCTCCACAAATGAATCAACAGACTAGAAACTGTGAGCATACCTCATACATTTCAAGGCAAAGTGAGAATCCTGCCCCCACGGAGGAGGCAACCTCCAGCAGGGCCACAGCAGCACAGAGCTTTGTCAAGTATTACCATAACTATCACAATCCCCTTGCAGCTACATGTCTAAATTTCACTTCCAGAGACAGACAGCAAATCCACTAATTAAAGAGAACAGCTAGACTGTTACGATCTCACACAAGTATCCATTGTAAAAGCACCCCTGCATCACTGGCCAGGTCAGTGCTAAACACTGATTAAGTAACTTTTTGTTGTGGGGTTTCAGCTCTTTCTGTTCTTGACCAGTAACAGCCTGACCTGTGGCACTGGAAGGAAAGCTAAAAGGTTTGAATCCTGTGTTGCAATTGAGCAGAGCTCTAAAAGTTTCCCGAGTCAAGCCACATGAGCAGTGCCAGAGTGCTCTGTTCTCAAAAGACTCAGACTACCCAGGATTGCTCTTCTACCTCAACTTCTCTCCTGAATACCAATGTAAGGGAAGCACTCACAGGTGCACGTGTGTCCCCCTTTACAGCTGATACCAGTAGGAGTAATTATCCCACAGCAGCAACTGCCAGAGCCAGTTTGATCCCCAGATTTTAAGCAGAAAAGGCTGCGAGGTCACCTTCTTCTAATGACGTTTTGTGAAAATGCTCACTTCTTTAAAAAACAAATAAACAAAAAAAAGCTAATTTTCAGGAGAACCCAGTTTTCATCCCCACCAAAGCATTTAAAAACCAGGCTGCTTCTCCTTTTGGTATCCTATTTTTCTTTGGTTGGATTTTTTTTTTTTTTTCCAAAGCTGCCCTAGTTTTTATGCCCAACTTGTTGTGATCTCACTTCGAAAGAACACTTCAGATCAGGAAGCTTCATTTAAATTAGGAATCCCAGTAACTATTTTTGGGAGGATATGAATAGAGAAATTTCCTTTTTCTTTCTGTCTGTTCTCCTGACATGAATGCTTTTAGCAAAAGAATGGAAACACCAGAAAGCAAGTTAATGTACAACTCAGAAAAAATGATATTTTAAACAAAATTATAGTCTTTTGTCAAGTATTATTTGAAAGGCTAAGATGGCAGGGATCAAAACTGAACCACCTAAACCCCTTAACACACCAGACATTAGAGCTACTTTGTTCATTAACCCTTAGCCGAGACAGGAAAGTGTTCAATAATCCAGCCATTCAATAATCCCTGGAGACAGCAAATTACAGCTGATGATTCTATCAGAGCTAAACAGAAAAAGCATGGAGAAAATAACACCTGCAGTGCGGCTCTTCGGAAAAACCTCTGCAATTACAACTATCTCCCCAAAAGTGACTAACTGTGGTCCTAGCACATCATTTTGTCAAGGAGCTGGCATTTACAATCAATTTCAATCAACTTCCACACGTCCCTTCCCACTGACTGACACGCCGAGTTCTTGTCAGAATAACAAGTCGGGTTTGTGCCAATCACCGACAAAAGGCAAGTTTGATTGTTCCTCTTCCCGCTACAAATAACAGGAGCTCAGTTTCCTCGTGGGGGTACACACTGAACCAGCGATTTTGTGCCTCACAATTGCTCTGTGGCAGGTTCTGGTTGCTGTGCACACACACACACAGCACACACACACCACGAGAAGCACCCAGTTTCAGCAAAGAACTTCCTAGGCCCTGTGTCACAAACAAAAACGTTCTGAGACACCAAAAAAAAAACAAAAACAAAAACAAAAACAAAAACAAAAAACCCAGGCCAGCATGGCCACTTCACCACTTGAAGCAGTCTGCTCATGAACGTCTTTTGGTATGCAGAATATTCACGCTGACATATAGCTGAGAGAAATGAGATTATGTAAGCAAAGAGGAACAAGTGCAAGATCACAGCTAAAGGATATTTGTGCACGGAACTAATGAATTCCACAACTGAAGAAGGGTGACAGAGTGCCAAAAAAAGTGTTATTGTTTTCCTAACAAATCTTAAAATAATTCAACATCCCTGCCTTAATAAATTATGGAAAAACTCATGCATGAAGTTCACCAGTCTTTCAGAACAAATCAGGGGAAAGATAATTTCTTAAGGTATGACTGGCATCAGTATACAGCTCAAATTTTCATACATAAATTGCCTTTGTTCCTTGTACTACTATTAAGGCAACAAATATTGAATATTCCTTCCGTGAACATTATTTGACAGCTTTCATTACCAGAAGAAGGAACTGAAAGCTAACAATAACACCCATCACAAAATGTCCTTAACTTTTCTTCCTTCTCATTAATTTATTTTGAAATTAATTACAGCAAACTATCACTCCACACAGTGATACAAACCCAGGGTCTGACATTCTGTCATGTTTGTTTTAAAGAACAACCTTTCAACCTGAAATAAAAGATAGTTCATTATTCATCATAACAGAAAGTCCAGGCTTGATGCTCCTCTGCACCAACAGGAGATACAAGCTGAAGCCAAGTAAGGCTTCCCAGCCCCAAACAAGATGAACAATTTTCCACTGGCAACAGGTGAAAAGAGCACCTCAGAAATCTGCAACGCTTGTTTCATTTCTCTCAGCAATTATTTATTTCCATCTCGAATCAATTCTGCCACTGGGACTCACGTCGCCTGAATTACCAGGACCTCTGAAAGTCACTGTAAAACGTGCCTGCTGTCAGGGCAGGTTTAACTCTGCTTAAAGGGAAGGTGAAGCTGGTAGGCCCTGTGTGATGTACTCACCCTTGCACACTTTGCAGCACTGACTCTCCACGTGCACTGGGAGAGCATCAGGAGGACACTCGAGAGGGGGACAGGACATCCTTCGGCACTCCACGACTCCGCTCTGAGCAAAGGTTTTTAAGACAAAAATTCTGACTAATACCGCTGCAGTTAGATGGTGTTTTATAAAAACACAAATAAAGACTGTTCAAGGAAATGAAAACAGCGTCCTGGATTACAAACCCATCCTTCGGTAACAGATCTAATCCCACCCAATTACAAAATGAATCCAAGTGCACCTGGAGCCAAACTGCCCCATTTTGATACACATTACTGGTTCTACCCCCCATTCCCTGAGCGAAATCCATGAAGTGGAAAGCACAAGTCCACGTTTACAGGAGCAGAAGCACTACTTTCTGTAGGCTGTTCCAATCATCTTTGAGATTTTTAACAATCAGGTTTCTATTTTCCTGAGCAAACAAAGGCTCTCTTCAGATATTTATCAAATAATTTCAAAGACACAAGTTTTACATACTAATTCTCTTTCTGTTCCTTGTATTTCTCAGACTGATAAATGCTGAAAACAGAATCTGCAAGTTGTTACCATGCAAGATGCGACTAAGCATCTATGAATACTATTAAGATAATGCTTCCTTTTTGAAAAAGCGACTGCAGAGAAAACAATTCCAAACCCAACACAGGCAGTGCCACCCGTTCACCCCCAAACCACGAAGTCCTCCCAGCTATAATTAAAACAAATAAGAAAGCAGTGTCGAGGGAAAGCAGATTTTATTTATGAAGCCTGCAAATAAGCAGTGTCGAAATTTTTATTTATTTTACCATTTCCCTCTCTATTGTCCAGACTGCCCCTAGATGCATACCCAAACATGGTAATTCTCAGAGTTAACATAATGTATTCAAAGGCCATTTTCACTTTTTTGTTAGGTCCTGTTCTTGAATCAACTCCAGAAATTCTTACTTTGCACGTGCAGTTCCTGCAGTGATCATCTTCAACCCATGAGTCTTTGTCTCTATAGATCAGTCCATTTACTTGGCAAGTCTTCTCACAGTGACAGTCTTCCAACTGACTCAGTCTTGTTTCTGCATAATTTAACTACAAATTAAAGTAACGTGATGAGATTTCTGCAATTCAAACACCTTATTTTAAAAAAGCAAAAAAAAAACATAGTTATTTTTAGCCATGCCAAGTTTGCCTACAACCTCTGAAACACTGAATCAGGATATCAGCAGGTATAAACTAACCCTATTCCTCAGACTTTGATGCACCTATCCATTGCTAATTGACAACAGTTTACGACTCATGCAACAGCCTCGTGAACAGCGACTAAACCCCTCAGGAATGTCTGGACACTACTAGAAGTACAAAAAGACAATTTTGCTTTTCCAGGTAGTGCAACTGCAGGCTAGAAATCGCTAAGTTTACTGATGAGATGCTGTGCAATAACAAATGGGGACGATGCTCATTCTTGTGGGAGCAGCAGCAGCAAAGGACAAGGCTTTTTGAACCACCCCTTCATACAAAGGACCCATCTTAACATCCTCCAGAGAGGAACCCACCCTGTACCCAGCATCATGATCTCTAATCCCTAAAAGGGTTCAAAATTGCTTTTCCATTTTTCTAATACTAAAAAAAAAAGTAAAAAAAAAAATGGAGAAATATAGGCTTAGAAATAAATATGTGCATTCTTTCCTGGCTTCTCCCCTGCCCATACAAAAAACTGAAAGATGACACTCTCTTGTGTTAAAAGAAAACATTGTTTCTGACAAAATAAATAACAAAATATCAAAAAAAACCCAACCAAACAAACAAACAAACCCACGAGTCATCAACATTTATAAGGAAAGTTTGTTATTCATAGAAGTGCTCCCATGATATAAACAAACCAGATTAACTAGTCCATCAAGGAACTCAAGTGCTTGATTTTTCTTGATTTTAATCAAAGTCAAGCTTCAGCCTTTCTGACCTCAACCAAGCAAAGACTCAGTAGAAAGTTTTGTCTTCATGTGGCATCTGAATACAAAGCACACCCCAGTGTGGGCCCATAATTTACCAAAAGAAATTATATTCCACTCAAAGAAATGCAGGAGGTGCCCGGACTGATTTCAGCAGATTGTTAAAGCTGCCTGAATTATTTTAGCCATTATATTTAAAGAGGAACTAACAGTACTCTAGCATGCCAGTTGGGAAGGCTTCAATATAGCACAATCCTTTTCTCCTGCAGCAAATTAACATTTTTTTGCCAGATTCTAATACTCTGACACACGGTGTGACTCTATTTAAGGGACACAAGATTAAATCAATTGGACACATCTACTGGAGAGATTAAGAATTAATTCAAATCATGACAAAAATAAAATAGGTTTTAAAAGCTAGCATTTATTCATCTTTAAAAGCCACGTCTTCACACAATATGGGTAGGAAGAGGGCAAAAGTGTGGTGAGATTGTTACAGGTCACAATCAAATGCTCCTGAACCCAGGACTGTGTGATAACCTGCTACAGACAATGCCCTGCTGGGCCCTTACACAGCCCCCACGTCCCATCCTGAGCCAGCACTGGACTCAGGGGACCCTGAGATAAAGCCCAGGCAGGAGGGTACTCTCCTTTCTTGACTTCATACTGTGCAATCTGCACAGATACTAAAATTATCAGAGCCTGAAACCACTAGTTGGGTGTTCTCTCCCCGGGCAAGCCCAGCTCTGTGATCTTCACAGTTTTAATGAACACAAACTGCACACAAACATTCATTGCAACCCTCCTCGGTCTACTCAGTGCTGTGATACAGCTGTAACCAAACACGAATGGAGGGAGACTGAAATCTGAGATAAAGCAACAACCAGACATCAAACCACTTCTTCCAAACGTCTTGTTGTTCGTGCTCTGCATCTCCTGCTGCAGGACCAGGAGCATCAGCAAGCCATTCTCTGACCAGCTGCCCCTGCTGAACAGGATCTCTGCAGGCAGCTCACGGCCCTTCAGAGCCTTGCTCCTTGCCTCCACATAACATCATCCCATACAGCACACTTTTATCAGCACTTGTGGCTGTTGTGGCTAGGACTTAAAAGGCCTAATGCACCAACCCTGATGCTTCCCTCCAGACCCTCAATTTTTATCTTGCACTTGTCCACCAAATTAACCTCCTTTCCCTGCTGCATGCATTTTCCCCTGGACAACAGTATTTCTGTAACAACTGCAACGAAACAGTCAGTGGACTGCTATAACAGCAAAGGAACTTGCAGTGAAGGATTATCCCAGCACCACTTTATGAAAGCACAGAGTCTTTGCAGTACAAATACTGCGTTATTTGCTTCCCCTCGTAAAGTACTAGCAAGCAAAAATATAATTAACATCAGAGGAAGCAAGTTACTCAGTGCAGTGCATAATTGGAACTTGCTCATACCACCAGCAGGGCTCAAAATAATTGCCTCCCTTTCACAGCACAAGCAGAAAACTGAACTAAAAAGCTTCACATTTTGCTTTCGGAGCCAGCCTGTCCAAAACATGTCAGATGAGTAAGTGGATTGTCAGGATAATGCTCACACTCCCTAAAAAAACAGTTTCCCCTTTCCTGTTGGGAAGGGACAGAACCCTTAAAGGCAACAATGTCAAAAGTATAATGTTTTTACATGAGCAGCACTACTATGCAAAATCCCATTTTTGAAATTCCTGTTCAGTAACTACA